CTGCAACAGGGAGATCACAGCCGCCCTCACTCGCACTTAGGAATAGCAGTGGACACCACATTCAATTGGACGATCTAGTCGGTTCCGATTTGTAAACGTACCAGTTAGTACAGGTAAATCGTATTAATAACTCTGTGTGATTCTTTTTTTCACCTACTATATAGGTTTGCTCAAGTGCCAGTTTTGTTTCCATTTCCATGATTTTGATATGGGTTATTTTCTCCAAATCACTGATAACTCACTGACTAACGTATACGTCAATATTTTAAATACACCAGAGAGTGGCTTATATTTATAGAGTTGCTATGACAACTAAAACGTCGCCAGTCTACACATTCGTCCCCCTCGTTCGTTGTTTTATCACTTGTCATGGTTCAAATATATTTGTCTATTCCAGTTCAAGGCGACAGCGACACATACACCGTTAGTGTCGAGACTGTTGTCATAGGCATGGTGCGGTTATAGACCTACAGGTCCATGGTGCAGCCAAACTTGGACGCCCTCGGCTCGATGCGTTTTTTTTTTTTCTTGATTACAATCGGTTGCTTTTACCAATGTGATGATGAGTATAGTGGATTATTTACCAGTCCCATCTTTCCCGCAATCAAAACAATTTATTCAATTTTCTGTCTACTGTTTCTTGTTTTTCCTCTCCAGGGATCTAATCGCCAACTCCCGGGCTCCCCTGTGGTCAAAAAACAACAATGTTAGTATGTGTAAACTTTTGCCACTTAACCCAGGAGTAAATGTTGTTGTAATACGATTCGGGAAGAAGTTACCCCTTGCGTGGGACAATTCTTGAATTCGTCAAAACAATCTTCGCTGGTTTAGAGCATTTTTTCCCAAAAATTATTTCCTTCTCTAACATGTTTGGCACGGATTAGTAGAGTACACGTATGGTATCTTGAAATATACGAGACAATGGCCTGTCTATAAAACACTTTCTGCAAAACGATTCATCGTGTGTAAACAAACACATACCGCCAAGTTCATTGAAATGCGTTAATGTCTTGATGTGGTGGCATTTCAGAAGCTAAAAGATTGTTTTGCTGTGTTTTTCTAACAAATCCATGACAATCAAACTCGACATTCGTATAATAAAATTAATATTGAGTATTTGCCGTGCGCTATCTGGGCCAATCTTATTAAAATCTGATTATCGTATTGTCCGTGTATTTTTTAAATTTTATATATTGTATTTTTTTAGTTCTTTATTTGTTCTATTATTTTGCATATTTTTTCATTATGTATTATGTTAACTATTGCCATGCCCTGTGGTTTTCGCGATCACCAAAACTTTAAAAAAACTGCCAGCAAATAAATAATAAACTAGAATAAAATAGAATAGAATAGAAAAAAGGTATATAAAAATAAATTCATATTTGGAAAAATAATGAAAAACCAAAATAAATAAAGCTTAAACTAAGATCATATTTTAATCAGATTGTTTCTAAACGTAATATTTTAATAAAATTTAATATTGGTAATTTGCGTAGTGATTCTACTTATGCTGCGTCGTGATGGCCTGTAACTTGTAACGTTGCATACAGGTACAACAGCGAAACAGTCAGTCGCAAAGAAAGAAAGAAAGAAATGGTATTTTCTATGATATCTTAGGATATTTCGTGTTCTCACGTGCAAAACATGACTACAAGGCACTGTTGAGAGATGGGAACACTGCATTTTTATCATGTACCGGTAATATTTGTATGCATTTGATATCTAATAATTACTGCAAACGTTATGCTACCTTCGAATGTTCGTTACCTATGCCGCTACTAGCTATGCGGTAGCGCTGTGTCAACTGAACGAGAGAAAGTGTGCACGGCATGAGAAAGAAATGACCACTCACCCACACCTGGTTGCATTTATAAAACCGTCTATATTCGCCTAGTATTCTCCACAGGAAAGTTAGCCGAACAGCTTAAGGTGTTGGCAGTTATTGTGGGGCACGGATACAAATTACATGTGGTGAATTTCATTCGGCTTTGAATTGGTTCCGAAAATACAGTTGGTAATATTATTTCTACAGCGTGTCACGTGTCAAACTGTGGTGGTGGGCGTATCAGCGGTATTACAATGGATCGGTTTGTTTTTTGTCGTTGAACTCGAAATCGCTATGGTAACCAACTGATGTTATCTTACTCTGGTACCCCTGCTATTTTAAAAGAGTTCTGCTTTGCTTACTATACGCGCAAACCGTGTTTGAACTGCAACCTGTGCGAGTGGTGCTGTTCCCCATGTCCAATTATAATTCGTTGACTGCGAAAACCACTGCTGTCCGATTGATCGCTAAATGTATTCATTGGAATAGATCCTGCAAATTTCCTCCTAGACGTTATACCTACTTGCTTTATATCAACTAAAATTAAAGAAAAATCACTGTGAACGGCTTTTCGTGCGATTTGGACTGTTTTTATGTGGATTAATTTGTTGCTAGCGGTGACAACTGGACAAAAACGCTCCCATGATGCACTTCCAGAAGATGATGACTGATATTATAAGATGGATTCGATAATATCAGCGTCATGGATGTATTACTATGCCAACAATTCGCTAGCTAGATCAGTTTGGAAAAGTTAATACTCGTCGGGGAGATGTCAAAGGGTGAGTTTGGATTGTATCTTCCGCTTTTCGAAGATTGCATTTAATCTCATATAATATATGATTCCAAAATGTTGGTAAAATTTACGACCAAAAATTACGTCTAAAATTAAAAGTAAATTATCTCTTAGTCGCCGTTCTGACGCGCCGCGCATGTGAACCGTTTTCCAGATGACTTAAAAACTGGTCAATGTTGAACCAGTTATTAAAATCTGTTTCGAAAAGCCGACCATAACATTGTTTGGCTAAGACTACGGCAACTTGAGGTCATATCATGTGTATCGTAGTAGATTCACTTGTCACGTGATACACATATGATCTCCCATACACTGGTTTTACCACATTCGGCAAATTTTCAGCATTATATTCAGTTTGGTTATGTGTACATCCGGGGTTTTCACTTTTCATCCGCTCCGATATCGTCCAACATACTAACATTGACTGGAAACGTACGCAGCGAAGTTGAGCTTAGAGAATTAGTATTAGCTACCAGTATTCGTAAAAACGAACTTTATTCCCGGAAGTTGTCTAAAACCACCCATGTAGTTCTGATATGCAAAATTTTTCCTCAGACCATTCTTTAAATTCAATTGAGTTATATTGGTAACATATTGAATTTGTGTAGGTTGATAAAAAAGAACGTTCCAATAAAGTAAAATGACAGCATATCAAAAACGTAAAATGGCAGCATATCAAAAAACCAAACTGATCTCTTACCTGTCTGTATATATTAAATTTACCGGAGAAAAGTCTAAGCTTACAGCCAAATGTAATCTAAGTACAAACTAAAGGTATTACAGTTGTAAGTTATTTATTTTACTTTGAAGTTATGTTGTAACTTATATTCAATAATTCCATTGTTCTTTCACCACATTCACGCAAGCGTTTTATATTACTATCCGCCGTTATTTCATTTAATCCTCTATTGTTATATAGATAATTTAAGTACATGCTTATTGCAAATTATGTGGTTTCAATAACAACTAAAAAAATCAGGTTATTGATAATACCCATTTATAACCAAGTCCATTTTAAATACTGTAAAATAACTACTTGCCATTTGGATTAACGTAAGAAGAAGTAGAACATAAAAATACAAACGATATATAATTGATGCTGAATTAAATAGTAAAACTACGAGGTGACTAAGACAGCTTTTACAACGCTAATCGCCAGACAGCACTACGCGTATAAGGCTTCGTGTTATTTCCTGGTTTAATAACTGTAATACTGTCATCGTTAGCGCTGAGGAGATTATACCTGTCACTGTCAAAAATAATTTATATTAAATATCACACACTTTCATCGGCTACCAAAACTAAGTGTATATTGATTTACGATTAAAATTGAATATTTTACAAATTGATCTCTATGGCAGTGCAAAGAAACTACAACTGTGTTTTTTTTAAAGTCACACAATATTCGGTTATGAAATAATAAAATTTCAACATAATCATATGTTAAGTGAAAGCGGTACCGTAACTCTCAGCTGTCAGCATAGTTACAATTCGTAAAACTTATACCAATTTATTAAAAATGACAGTTGAACTTTAGGTTCAGTTGTGCGGTGTCGCAACGTCAAGTTAGTATTTGACAATCTCAGGCTGGTCTCAATCTCAATCTCAATATTTTTTATATTTACATATCTTGGGTAGCTAGGGATTACACTTTCACTGATTTGTTCCTCAATACATATACATATAAGCATAATACATTATGTTTGTTTATTGGCGAAAACTGAGGAAGGCATCGTGTTTGTTTTCCCCAAAGACATTAGAAAATACATTTTCTTTGGTTTCCCTGGGGTTTCATGTCACGTGTAAATTAAATATGCAAAATATATTTGTTGTTAAATATCGGGAAACTGGTTATTAAATTTCAAATTTCTTGTGTGGTGCAGTATGAATAACCTATATCTGTATTTATCAAATCCAGGGAACGGGGAAAGAAAAATACCAGTTATTTCATTACAGCCAACAAAAACAACGGCCGTGTCATTGCGACTTCAGAGTCTGCTGATCACAGTGGTAGGCATCTCGTCGCTTGTAATAATTTACAACTCTTTCTTAAAATTGTTTGGTTATGTCTCTTCTCAATTAATTTAAAAAAAATACATGATGTCGCTACAAACTAATATTATGTGTTCTTTTTAAAAGGGAAATGTTCGTTTTGTGAATGTGTGGTAGCTTACGTGCGTCCTTTTCATAACAATGACGAGAGCAAAAACTGCTGTTTATTTGTTTTGAGCTCAGTGGACACCGGTAAGTCCACCAAAATGATGTAAAGAGTTTATCTCATCGAAGGACGTACTGGTATTTTGCTTTTCTTAAAATGATGAGTAGAAGCCATTATAGAAAACAATTCCCAAATAACACCTGTTAATTGGTGATTTACATTTAAATGCGGTCGTTGGGTGGAAGAGGCCACAATCACACCACTGCACTGACGGAATGTTTTGAAGCGGTTTTACGACAATGCTACTCAAAATGAAGAGTCATTCAATCGTCTCGAAGATCACATCTGACGACGTAAGTGCCCATTTTACTAAATTGACTTTTGTGAGAAAACAATGTGCCTAATGTCGGTAAAAAACATAAACGGGCCACCGGTTTCTATGCTGTCTCAGACAGCGTCTGCTGCTGGATAATCCATCCCTCAAACTTCACTGAGTGCGTTAGGTCCGGAATTTTAATTGATATTCCTCCAACATTCTACTCCATTCTCTGCATGTTAAATACTGACAGTGTGGTGTGGCAATAAGTCGAGCCACAATCATTACCATCAAACGTAAACCAAAATAAATCCGATATTATTGTATGTAGCTAGTCTCTGCGAAGCCCTCTAACTGACGTCATCGTTAAAACAACACATTCCAAAGATGCGTTTTTGAAACAAAAGATTTTTTATGCTAATTATGCATTGTTGGGTGATCACCGATTTTGGCCGAACCGGTGTGCAAGTGTGAATCGGAGAGTTGAAGCGACCAACGTCCCGCGCAACGAAGGCTAGCTAGCGAGCGTGCGTGCGTTATATCAGGTTATATCCGGGCTCACATCCATTTTACCTGATCTTTAATCTAAGTATTCGGTCTAGTGATGGTAAGGTGTTAATTGGGAGGGCTTATTCGCCCCGAATCGATGCTGGCACAGCCAAGAGTTAACTCGATTGCATGGCCCACGTTTTTCACAGCCGGAAACCCAACTCATTAAGACTGAATACATATCGTCGTCTGTCAAGTTTTTTTAAGGCAAAGAACAAACAATGGGTATAATATTTAGAATTTCATGAGGTTGTCTGGGGGCAGATTGTACTGTTAGTTACTCTACACGCCACGGGAGAGCGTACAGCTGGACGTCAACGTCTGCAAAGAAATACCAACCAGGGGTACGACAAGTTGTGAATCCGTTTGTTTTCCCAAACTTTTCGGAGTTGATTAAATTCGACAATTCAGGCAACTTCTCAAGCGTACAGGGAATATTTGTGCCGACCCCGAGCTCCACCTGTGTTGCTAATTATTACGTCACATCCTGTTTCTACACTGGAAGAGAGAAATTCTACCGCATTGGAATGTCTGTCACAAACAATAATTCGACCATGATTGGAAAAATAGCGCCTGTGATGCTTTTGGCGATTTTGACCAATTCTTGTGTGGCATCTCCGACCAACCTGGTAGACTCGGAGAAGCTGGAGAAGCGAATGTTGGCCGCGTTCGGCTTACATGAACGGCCGCGTCCGAAGCCAACCGTGACAGTGCCACAATTTATGTTGGATCTGTATAAACGAGTGGAAATGGGTAACGTAAAGACACTGGAAAGCCCACGATGTCAGTTTGTTGACAGTAACATTCCAGGCAACATCGTACGCAGTTTTCCGAACAGAGGTTAGTAAACTGATCTTTTACTTTTTGTTTTTACTTCATACTTGTAAAGTGCAGGGAAATACACATATTCAGCTGTTGTCCCATTCATGTGAATCAGTTTATCGATCACCACTCACCATGGGCAGCACTTGTATCTTCATTTGTTGTGATTGGTGTTGTTGGGAAATACTTTTACAAGTCTGATCGGGATAGAATACAGAACTAGAGCATTAGTATATGACAACGCAAGTATGGCCTAATTAACTGAGATCACTGAATACACTAATTAATTTGATGAGATCCCAATGTATTCGACACACCCCATAACAGTCAATCGATTAAGTTTGCCAATAGTAATTATAAATTTCCTGTCTCGTTGATAATGAACATCTCCGGGCCATGCACTTTTTGTAGTGATGTCTAGACTGGTTACACAGCAGACGCCAATCTCAGAGTAATTGACAGTTGGTTCCTAAAGTAGAAGTCGACACATTGTCATGCAGCTCTATGTAGTTCTTATTTAGTGGTAAGATACGTTTAGTCAGTGATGACGTATGTTCCCCAGCTGGCCGACTAACATTTGATACGTTTGTACTGGTACCGCAATAAACCTCTGTCATCATGACAAATTTCCACGCGCTATAATAAATACATCTTTATTTTACGTTTTTTTTTTTTGTTTTTTTTTTTACAGGTACTACATTGAAACAGTCAAATTCTTCTCGTGGCGACATTTGTTTTCGTCGCAAACTTCTGTATAATGTGTCTACCGTACCACTCGGAGAGAAAATCCACACTGCCGAGGTACGACTGGAATTCCCCCATAGTATACAGAGCTGGGGTATTCCTACTGGATTGGTGTATATCGTGAAAATATATCAAATGCTCTCAAATACTACCGCGGTGGACGGTGGGAAACAGCTTAAGTTGTTGGTTTCGAGAGAACTGCAACGACATAAACAAAATTACCGACCGTATGACATCGTCAGTGCCGTCAGAATGTGGCAGGCGGATCCAAGCACCAATCACGGGCTTTTGTTAACTTTGGAGACGGAGGATAACAATATACCGGATAACTATGGGAACTGTCCAGATATTCCCTCATATCAACCAACATTGGAAATGATCTCCGAAGACGACAGTCAATGTGAAAAGCGAACGAAACGAGCAAGCTCCGGTCGAAATCGTAAGAAGCCCGAGCACGCCGATATATGTAAACGTCACCCTCTATATGTAAATTTTCGTGAAGTTGGCTGGCATGATTGGATCATTGCTCCGGCAGGTTACGAAGCTTTCTATTGCCATGGTGACTGTCCATTCCCCTTGAATGAGAATCTGAATGGTACCAATCATGCAATTATTCAGACTTTAGTGAATACCATCGAACCCAATGCCGTCAAATCTAAAGCTTGCTGTGCTCCCACCAAACTTTCTTCTATCTCTATGCTCTACTTCGATAACAACGACAACGTTGTGCTGCGACAGTATGAAAATATGGTTGTTGAAGCTTGTGGCTGTCTGTAAAGTTTTTTTTTTCATTATAATTTCTTAAGTTGCAATATTTGTTTTATTTTGCTGAAAAAAAACTTCACGATATTCCTCTCCAGCTGCGAGCCTCGATGTGTGCAGTAGAGTACATTTATTTTTTTTAAATTTAAATTGTTTATTAGCAAAGGGCTTTTTTTTGTAATAAGAGTTATATCGGCTGTCATTACATTTTAACACTTCGTTGTTTTACTTTAAGAATTTGTACAAACACAACACGTCAAACAAATGTGTGTAGAGGATTTGTGATAACGAGAGAATTCACAGGCTTCTATCATTCTCACAATCCCAACCAGTTCTGGAAAAAGTTCCAGATATTTTTTAGAATATTTCCGTATAGAATATTACCGCATTTTTACTATAACCTGGTGCGTTTCCCAATCAGTGCTAGTTGTCACGCGTTTTCATGTCTGTACCAAAAAATGGACCTACAGACATGCAAATGACCAGACCATTGGTTTTAGTAAACTTGTGAAAATCCTTTATTAAATAGGTGTTGTGCAAATATCATTAATCTTGTTTAATTTTTTTAAGAACAAAGTAAAAAAAAACGTGTAGACGCGATTTTAAGAGTACGACTTTTCGATTTTGTTCAGTAGTGTACATTGTGGCGTAGTGCTGGATTCATTATGTCTATTTTGATAACCAGGAAATGACTGCCTTTCCTGGCACCATGGACCTCCATCCTGGCACCAGACAGTATTAGCTTAGGAAACACCGAAGTCCAGTCTGTCGAGCTTTTATGTAAATACGATTAGAAATAAAGCTGACTTGCTGTTAATTTTGTAGATAATATTGTATTGTGAATTGATTGGCATCGCATTCTCTTTCAGCGTTGTATAAACATTTTCTACGATCAAACGTAAACATCCTTTAATTTAACTTGAAAAAAGTCTTGTTATCAAATGGATATTGTAATGACATATTTCATTAAGTAAAATGCTTTCCTTGATGAAGGCTTCACCGCGTGTTTATCGACGCAGTCTCCCATGTCATTCGCGAATGCTCATTTTGCCGTGTTATAAAGGCTTTCCATGTCATTATCACTAATGACGATATTTTAGTATTACATATGGCACATTGTCGGGGTGGATTTTAGACAATGAGTACAGTGACGGCTTTGGTGCATTTGGGTGGCTTCTCCTATAACGTCCAAAATACTTTTCCAATCAACCTGAATAAAAAAATAAAATAAGTTTGAAGCTTCCCTGTTTTTTCAATATTAGCTGTCTCCCAATATTTTACGATAACACAGCGGAGCTATGCTTGTTGCGGATTTTCGATTTCGTAGTCAAATTTGAACGGGTATACATCTGTTGTTGGGTAGTTCTCTCCCAGAATTGCGTAACTGTTTGTAGCGAATACTTGACCAAAGCTTGTACATTATGGATTGCCTCCTAAAATAATTCCTGTTCTTTGTGACTAGTTTTCCAATTGTTAATCATTTTGTTTTATTTCACCACTATGTTTACCGTTAATTTTCTTGTAAGACCTGCCAATATTGATCGCCATGTCGTGTTTGGCTCCCGTCACGGCGTGGACGTAGAAACAGAAACAGGAGTGACTGCCATCTGGATTGTTATTAGTATGTTCATTTCATGAAAATCATCCGCATTTAAAATAAAGAATATTGTTAAATTGCATATATGGTACGGATTCGGAATCGAGACTTGGCGATGGTGTCTGAATTTGACTTTGGTACTCAGAGGACCAAATTTAGACTTAAAATGTGCAACGTTTACCAAATCAACTTCGAGGGGAACTGCACCGGCAGTGAAACACTCTTTGAATGTTCAAACCATACAAATTCTGATATTTTGTAGATATTTTTTTTTTTCAAAAGATAACGGAAAGTGGCTTTAATTATCCCTTTATACAGGTTTCCGGTGCAATTAAACCCACGTTTCTGTATTTGTATAAAAAAAAATACCCAGTATTGTAAATATATCACTCTATTAAAACTGTTCTAAAGTTTGACAAAATGTAGCAACGTACACGCACGACTGTGAACTTAATTTCCCACCCCTAATCAATATTCATGTACACCGTGTAAGATTATCAGATTTTTCAGATCAGGTTTTTCCCGTTTTTATCCGAAGATATTCGCGACGTCACAAACGAAACGGGGAAATGGCACATGAATCAAATTAACATGGGGGGGGGGGTTGTGATGATTATGTTACTGTTTAATCTAATAGCCCTCTTATTGAACGCCTGGAGTTTGTTTTACGCACCACCATTACTGTGCATACACTAGGGAGTTGTTGCATGTACTAGGGCAGAGGATATGTGATTGCACGGATGTGGTCGGCAATATGCCACTCCATCACGCCCAAGGAAAACATGGTGGTACTTATTGCAAGACCTTCATTCAAGTTGTGTACTTGGTGCGTGCAGTTGGGCCTTCGCATAGAACACGTACTAGAACACAGTCATGGTAAGAGTGATCAATTACAACTTATCGATTAAGTGTCTGGAAAAGCCAATAACGTAAATCAGATTCAACAGTGTTGGCTCCATACAACTACTTTCAGTTAGTATTCCTCTCCACGGGGCCTCTCTTAAAATAACATTAGAGATTATTAGATTAACTTTAACGGGTGTCAAACATTTATCACTTGAACTTGAAACTTGAAGTTGTTGGCTCGTGTGTCGCTCCCTCCGACCATTTCTAGTATCATCCCGGGAGACTGATCAGTCGAAGAAAAATTGTTTGGCACATCATAAATGCAAGATACATGCTTAGTAGTACAAGTTCTGTAATGTCCGGTTGTGAACGTGATCAAAAGTTGTAGTTATTGACTCTTTATAATAAAAAGCAAACAAACAAAAACTTGTACTTTACATAGTAGTGCTTTCATTTTTGTCAGGAAGATATATTTTACACGCCCATGTCTGGAAACGCGACAGAATTATTCGGATAGACTGGTACACATTTGTGCGAGTTATCCGCGCATTTGTAATCGTTGGCGATGTTCTCTTTGTCTGACCATGGAACTATAAACCCTTTTTATAGTTCCATGGTCTGACTGACTGCAGTTTTTTTCGTAATTTTTAATCAATATAAGGGTAAGGCAAAATTATGGTAATATATGCTATGCATGTTTGTATATGCTAATATCATGCACACATTTATATTGTCTAGGTGGGTTTTTTTTTTCAGTTTAAAAAAAAAACGCAGGTCCTGTTATTTTCAGGTTAGGCATCATTTTTGTTTCAGAGGAATGGCAACGTATCTAATCAAATCTGACTTAGAATCCCAGACTTAGTTTTGTTAACATCTATTTTTACCTTCATGACGTATAACCCACTGTCTCCTTCCCAGAGATCCTTGCGGCCAGAATACCGAAAGTATCTCTTTTCCACCACACACCGCCATTTTGTGGTGAAACTTCACAAGAATCTTACTACGCCAATTATTTGCGTATTAATTTTTGCTTATACTCGTAAAAATAGAACTCTGCGTGGTAGATTGGTATAACCTCAGACCAGTAATACAAGTCTGAGGTATAACCCACTGAAAGTCGAATGTAGCGCATTTACCCGTTTGTTTGTTTGTTTGTATACTCGTTCAAGTTGTTCAACTCGTTGACTGACATACATAACATATTACACAGCCTCGTTCAAGTACTTGATGTTCAAAACTCTTCTGCATACGAGTAGTTTAGTCAGAATTCCCAGACTGTCTCGAAATCACCCGACCGTCTCTGATTCACTCGTACAATTAGCAATGACGTTGAATGTCATCTGACACTCAGTATCATCTGTCATATTTGTCCTCTTCACGTTTGTCACAGTCGCTGCCCACATGATTTAAAGAGTGGAAACGGAGTGAGATAAGTCACGTGAAAGAAAGAAAGATGCAGAAACATCACTCTTAGCACATTATTTCCATCAACTCATTTTAGCTACTTTTCAAATTTACCCATACAATAAATACACGGTTTATCTTCGAGTCCGCCTCGTGGTGATAACATGTTCTGGTTCTTTGGCTTGTATGATCTGCCATCGCGAGTGTCCAATACGTACGCGAAAATTGATTGCTATTAGTACAGACATGCACGTTTTAATAAACCCAAATTACTTTACTGGTACCAATTGAATATGTATCTGACCAACTTCTATACACAATTCAATGCGTTCAAACAAAAATTAATTTCTATACATACGTATCACCCACGTGTTGGCTCATTTGGTGCACCAATATTGTGTCAAAGCGAACTCGATGTACTCGTATGTCCCTGCCGCCCGTAATAAGAACACGTAAGTAATGCACCTCTGATTATATTCAGTTGAGTAATGTGCCTGTATTGTAATACATTGATTTAAAAAATGTGAACATATGTCCTAAACAAATCAATTTTACGGAATCTGCTTTTGTGTATGGGGATTGTAACACAGTTCGAGTAAAGGCGCTTCACCCTGTGTCTTTTGGTGAACAACGAAGGTCTGCAATCTCTCCAGGAAATTACTGGCTCGCATGACTCTCCTTTTTTTTTTCAAATTGCAAAGAATGTGTCAAAGGTTATCAAAGTTTTGGCGAGATCCCGTTCAAAGGTCACCATCTTTGGTGTTGATACTATTACGCTGGTGGCGGTGTCGCAGTAGAAATAAGTAAAATGTAAACATCTTGCAATTATTAAAAAAAGCAGCGCATAGATTCAACCCAAGATAGCGTGTTTAATTGGTTATTACTTGAGATCGCAAAATAAAGTGTATCTCTCAGTGGAAGCAACCTCAATGATAGACCCTTTGCAGCTAGCTGTAAATCTACTATCACGAGGTGCAGCACTAATGACGTCACATGCAAAACTCGAGATGGCGGAACGGACATCCTCCGCGATGATTTTTTTTTTGTTCGTGAAGGTAAGTGTTGTTTTTTCCAAAAAGAGACAGGACACTGTTCCATTCCGCCCGGTGATATCATGTGTGTGGGCACATGTCGTGTGTTGCTGTTGTCCCGTAAAATTTTCGAGCTTTGGTGTCAGGAGGTGAAATTGACTGGTGCACAAAACGTTCCGGTATCTACTGAGGCTAGTCGGGTTAACCGTCTGGTAATCAAAAACACGTGGAGTAAAGTATCATTTCGCTTTTATCCTAACAATAATCTAAAATTGCTGGTCAGCTTTCCGTTTTGTTTTATTCGGATGGTGGTCAATTGTCCGACAGCCGATAAGAATTTCAGCCGGTTACATCGTTTAATTACATGTTGACACAGGAGGGCGCACTCCAATATTAGACACAGTAAATAGAGTATACACGTATTTTATTTAAGACTTGTATATATAAATAACGATAAAAAAAATGCTAGCCTGCGTTAATGCGCCTGCTATACCAAAATAAACTGATATTATGAATATGTCCTATTGGCAACTTAAAGTGATTTCAACGTCCTTAAAATTGGCGATTGTTGAAACGGTTACTCTCAAAGCCTTAGCGATATACGTCTAACCATCTCGTCCAATCGGTGAGCTCCGGAACACTTGACAGGAGGTCATAGAGCAGTGCCATTTATAAGTATTAATGTAACCAGCTAGCGTAGACCAGAAAGAGGAAGGAAGCCGGTGATTCCAAAACACAAACTTACGCTGAATTTGAAATTGTACATCACTGCCCGTGGCATTTAATATAGAGAGCTGTATGTCTTGCCAGCAACCGAGTTCAGATCTAATATGCTGTAAATTCGTGATGTGACGTTATACTTTTTCAAACATCTCGTGATCCTGCATGGCAATGGATATGTACTATATAACTTGAGCACATTTCACGTTTCTTGGAATATTACTGCGCAGACACTAAAATTCGCCAGGAAATATACTTACAGAAAATTGACAATCTAGTGAGGTTTCTCGATGTTCGAGCAATACCGTATTCCATGTGTAGGTTCAACCCGGCCCATTATCCCAGCAATGAGGTGAGTAAAACAACAACATTACGCAAAACAACAGTAGCTTGCTACTATTTATCAAATATTTATATCTTTAAATACTCAATATCATAACAGCTATAAAGAAACATTCAGTGCGACAGCCATGGCCAGCCAGTCAGGCTATTTCCAACTTCGGGAATCCTCGGGCCAACCTCTGTCTATCAACGCTAGTTTTCCATTCTCGTTGGCGGCAACTGTCTGGTACTGATTTGATCGGAACCCGGTCACATAATGCATTTGACATTATATACTGAAATAGAGTGTCTCAATAGGAGGGCATCTGAGAATAACCTTGAGGAAAATGGATTTCCTTTGCTATTAACGTACCATATAGGTCATGAACGCCTCTACGTTGTTCAGTTCGATAGTTGCTCTGTTTTTTAATGTAAATAAACAGCGTTCTTTAGATATATGTGACGGCTATCCGGGCACTAACATAAGTTTACATAATTTCTTCGAGGGCAAAAAAAAAAAAAAAAAACTCGGCATCACCAGATGTTGGGTTAGTAGAGTTTTCCTGTCACATATGATGAGATATATACAACGCATTTTAATGTTTTCTCTTTAAAAAGCCTTGAAACGTAGACATACTCACCAGGATAGGGACTACGAACGCGCAATCCCCTACTTACTACGTTGGAAACATTCGAAAGATATTCCCTTCTATAAAACTGGTGATATTTCCTATCGACATTATGTTATTGTACTTGTAGTACGACTATTTTTTTTTTCCCATGCAGTGGTTTTAGGTGTGGGTTGATTTATCTAGAACTTTGACTCTTGTGCCGTAATTCTTCGTTGGAAACAGAACCTTGTCAGGCCATAGCAATGTTTTAATTTGTAATTTTACTCTTACAAGAAACTCGAGAGCTAGTGTTTTTCTTTTATCCCAAGCATTTCACTTTTGTGTACTTAGAAGCCATGCAACCTGCTTTCAGTCGTCTAATCCTTTGTCTGGTGTTGATGTACTGCGAAAAGTATAGCTGCTCGAAACGGCTTCCACTTTAGACCTTAGAAAAACAACATTGGTATTCATTCAGTAATTTTAAATCGCGCAAATGATAACGAAAAACGTGTGCGATAGTTGATTTAATACTCTTTAATAAATTGTAGCGACTTCAAATTTATTTTAAATTACAAGAGTGTCATGCATTTAATGTGAGTGGCTCAGATTTTGAGTCGGTGATAATAATGCCCACCCGGCTGCTAATTGCCTTACGTTATAACAGTTAGAGCATTGAGCACGGTAAACACTACGTTCTCTCCAGTGTTGCTGCGTTCTCCAGTATACGACGTTACAAGCTACAACGACGTTATGTTACGCATTCTCGTTGACCACACAATATACGCACATAGCAGGCAGGAATGCTCCATACTAACGAACATAAAAAGAAACGTGAACGGAAGCGTTACTCCCACTTATAAATTGTAATGTCAGCTGACGAGCTCGCATTTTATTTTGACTGAAATTTACGGCTGCCAAATCCGAATGTTTAGAACTTAACCTTTCCCATTTACAATTTATACATTAAAGGCGACCTGCGATAATGTGATATCATTTGACAGCGCATGGTAAGTCCTCGCAATGCATTATAACTATACTGTTAATGTCAGACAGATGACATAAGTATTTACTAGGGTGTACTGCTATTACTAGCCGAGATCCCACATGCACCGTTGTTAGCCCGGTCATAAATCAGACCATTGCGCTTCGCAAGGGAAGTCTGGGCAACCCGTCGACTTAAGCAGACACACAGTTTGTACGATAGGAAACGTTGGGTCTGGTTACTTTTCAGTCCATTTCCATCCCACAAATACTGGTTTCTAGTTACATGCCAACCCACATGGTTTCATATCACTTTTTTTTCAAAGCAGGGATACCTCTTTTCTAAAACAAATATTGTAAGAAAGTATTTCCTCTGGCTTTCGTTTTTTATAGGTCATCGGATGTAAATGTGTGCATCATGGCAATCGATACGTCTGAGTGCTGTTATTTGTCGTATACGATTCAAGACGATCGTAACCGAGGTTGCTGTAACAAATGATGTTTGTTAATGTAATTACGGCGGAGATTTAGTGCAAATTAAGTAATCCAATTAACATACTTGACTAAATGAGAATCATGTTATTCTCTGCTATCATTTCATCTTTGCAGCATTCTCCATTCGTCACAGTAAGTGGCCACGTCCTTTGTGCACATCTCGTATTCGTAACGAATTCGGAGGTAAAAATTTTGCAGGCTGTTGTAAACACGAACTTGCCCATTGTTAACGTGGAGAAATGTGTTTGCCCGAAAAACTCGTAAAATTTGGTCGGACAAAAGTTTTTTTGAAAATCGAACAAAAGGGGTCAACATCCAAGTTGAAGTAGGACGGTTTATATTGGTAGGGCAAAGTTATATGATATGTTTCTTCAAATTGTCGATTGGAAACACTCAAAAGTAGTATCACCGTGAAGAAGTTAAAACTATGGTTTCACCTTCAGCCACGGCGACACTATTCGACAAGGTGTGTGGAGACTGTTACATGCTGTACGAACACACTGGGGGAAACACCTTCACACAATACACAGCCACATCTCGTTACGCTGCGCGCTACTATATTACAATATCTGGTCGTGAAAATAGAGTGAAAAGATCGTTGTGACGATGAGGGCCACTTACTGTGTACTACGAGTGGGCTAATGCCGTAAGTAAATCATGGGAATTGTTGTCAATGTATGTACAATTCATTTAAAAAGTGTAACAACAACACCGATTATCGGATATCAACGAAACAAGCCGACCCACTATCCCCATGGTCAAGCCAAGTGGTGCTCGTTTACTGACAATGAATTCAACACTGTGCTTCTATTGCAGAGACACCATGGTTCACGGTAAGCCAGCGTTCCTGTTCCTAGTACTCGTCTGTATATTGGTAAAAAGCACTGCCACACAAGTAATCGAAGACGACGAAAACAATGAGTTGACGCAACCAGTCTTGAATGGCGATAAGAAAGAGGAGGTCTTGCATGCCTTCGAGTCCAGTCTGTTGAGTATGTTTGGTTTGAAAAGCCGGCCGCGTCCTCGAAAGAATCCTGTGATACCCAAATATATGATGGAGCTATACATGAACCAAATCAAGAATCCTGATGATATGAACGTTAACTTTAACGTAAGGGACAAGTCGATTAGCACAGCAAATACAGCACGTAGTTTTTTCCACAGAGGTAAGTGTGAAGTTGCTACCTTTTTCAGGGGTGTGAAAACGAAAAGAAATTCTATTCGATTGTTACAAGACAATCTCTTCCCCCCTTGACAACTAGTAGAATCGTCATTATCGCCTTCTCACCTTCACGACGTGGCAGTACCTTTATGGAAGACAATTGAACCAATTTAATGTATGCATTGTTATACAGAGGCAATTCTCTCATTATTTTTTTCTTATTTCAGAAATTGGAGAAGAATCTGAAGAGAGAAGAGATGGTCAATCCAAACGATACTTTTTTGATTTGGAGACGATACCAGACAATGAACTGGTGACAGGCGCTGAAATTCGCATATTTTGCCATGGAATTAATGCGAGTACGCCGCGAATTGATAGCAGTATAGATTATAGTAAAAGACAACATTCGGAATTTCTGCATCGAATAAACATCAACGAAATATTACAACCGGCTACCGACTACCACGATGCGTTCAAAAGACTAATAGACAGTAGCGTTGTGGACATACGGAATAGTTCTTGGGAGTCGTTTGATATACGGCCGGCAGTGGCTCGATGGATTGCCCACCCAGAGGAAAACTACGGACTCGAAGTGGAATTAACGCATACTAAAAATGGGCAGGCTTCACCTCACCAAAAACATGTCCGGCTGAGGCGGTCGGATACCAGTAATGCTGAAGAATGGCAGAGCGAGCGCCCGTTACTGGTAACGTTTACTGATGATGGTAAAAGGCCGCAACGATCGAAGAGGCAATCTGATAAACGGGCGAGAAGACGCCTTAAATTGAATTGCAAACGACACGAACTGTATGTTGATTTCAATGATGTTGGATGGAATGACTGGATAGTGGCTCCACCGGGATATCATGCTTTTTACTGTCACGGAGAATGTCCATTCCCCATTGCTGAACACCTGAACTCGACCAATCATGCGATAGTACAGACATTAGTGAACTCGGTGAGTCCCGATTCAGTGCCAAAAGCTTGCTGCGTTCCAACGGATCTTAGTCCTATAAGCATGCTTTATTTAGATGAATTTGATAAAGTAGTTTTGAAAAACTATCAAGACATGGTGGTAGAGGGTTGTGGTTGTCGCTGAGAACACAGAGTGCATCATGAATTGGACACAGGCCGCGTTGCTTATGTGGAATTTGATGACCGCAGTCTCTCGTCCGCCTCCGAACAATTACAGATATGTGTATACGGCGTCAAGCGATGAATGCAGAGTGTAGTCAAAGGAAGACGGGGAGTCGGAGCTATTCTTGTGCCTAAACCACAAAGATGCCTTAATTTTTAAGCACCTATATTGGTCGGACCATTCAAGTGCCTTCACATCATGCGATACAGAACTTATTCTAATAAGACGTTTCTAGATGTATATGTTTTCAATCCCTGTATTATGGTTCGAATCAGCTTATTTTCCGATTTAAAGCCATGTGTATTTATTACTGGACATTACGTATTGTTACTGTCAAATTTCAAAATCGAATATCTTTTAGTGACCACATTTACCCGTGATTGGGACGAAATTGACAAAGTCTTTTGTATTAAACTCTGACTACAAATTAAGGTCCAACATAACATTTTCCTCATATATGTATATATTCCGTGGGCGTTATAAACTTTCCTAGTGCCTTGCCTTTTTTTACTTTTTTTTCTGATGGAATCACATTTTACACTTGCGACTCGATATTATTTAGTCACAGTTGTTATTTCATGCGTTAAGAAGTTACACTTCACATAATTCTACGTCTTCAAGTGTGTAGCCAGTGATTCCTTTTTTTTGCACAGTTTTAAATTTTATGATTAAAATAGTGTGGATGAAAATGACGTAAGATAGTGTTATACAGCCAATGTGAAGTGTATATATATAATCGTCTATTAAGACGCTGTACCTGTTCATAAGACAGTTATACAATATCAATCTTGCTTATAGTTGCTTTGATAAGCGTTATTTATTTTACTTCTGGAGTGCCAATTAAACTTGGGAAAATGATCAAGAGAATGAATGAATGAATGAAGTTCTCTGGGTTTGTTCTTTACATTTCTATCGACTCTGCAAATTGTGTTTTTTTTCATTATTGGATTACATAATATACATAGGCGCCCGTCTGTCCGCCTCTATGATGGAGAACGACTTAGTTGGTTTTATCACAACACCTCCAATCAAAATACCTTGTTTTGTTTCACCTAAATGCTACTATACATTTTTGTAAGGGATATATAATCAGTCCATGGGTCGGCATCGATTTTGTTTTGTAGAATTGAGGCAAAACGTGTTGTATCTGCAAAAGGTTCGAGCATAACATATGGAAGCTACATAATAAGTTACGAATGTAAGTTGGTTGTGGTTATCGCCATACTAGACATTGCACTCATTCTGACCTTGGTGCATTCTTGCATGGTGGTTTATTTAAGCTTGCTGTGCGGCATGTTTATCGAAATTTCTACTGGCGATAGATTTCCTTGCCTTTGGGGCATACGACTCGGTGTCAGACCTCAGGAACACCTTGCAGCGCTCAGCCATAATTCTGGGCTGCTATACGAGACGACGAACGCAATTGGTGTCAAACGAAAGGGCTGGCCTCTCTAATTAACGCCAGCAGGATAACTTTTCATAACGAGGAAAAATGATCGGAATTAAATTCGCCGTAAAACGATATTAGAAACCAGATACAGGATGAAGCCAAAAATGGGAGGACATCAAAGCCTAACTAACACTGGTAGTACATTGTGGGGGTGGAGATCTTTTTTCATTTTATTTTGCAAGCATGCTAACTTCCTTTTACTAAATATGAAAAGGTTTTGTCCCAACAAGCAGATGAATCATCTTTTTGACTCTATGGACTTTCAAGCGGACTGGTTTCATTCAATCCCACATACTTCGAGCACAGAACATAGACAGTGCTATCTGATCAATACCATAATCAAGGGCGGCTTCCACTCTATGATTTTTTTCCGGAACTGGGTTCAAAATTGCTCCCGTTTCCAGTAATTACAGCGTTGACCGAAAGTTGCCAAATTGAGTCCAATTATCGAACCATTCTTGGGTGAAAGAGTAATGCGAGAACCTGGAACGCCACAGGACCACGATTGTGGACTCGGCACTTTTACATTGGATGAAGTTGAACAACAATACGCACCTCCTTCAAAGAAATACTTTGTTTTGTCAAAATTCGAATAAAAAAAGAGGAGGATTGGCATTGGTATTCTATGTAGTATAGTTGTAATTGAATGGGGCCACTTATGATGGGTTTAACACGCTACTTGCCTTCGCCCATGAAAGAATCCCGCTGTTTGGAGTCAACACGCTAAAACCACACTCAAAACAAACTAGTAAACAGCCAAAAGCAAATAGTGGCTGTCCTTTTTGGTCCGTTACTTTTTACAGTTACTTTGCGTTCATAAACACTGTTAAATATTTTTCAACAAAGTATAGGGCCAACATTTCTGTTAACGTCTTTATGAAAATTACTTTTTTTTCAATGTGTGTGGTCCGGCACATTAAGAATATTTTGACTTTGCGTCACCAAACTCGCTACTGCCAGATACTGGCTGTTCTAAAAAAGGAGTGTGACATACAACAGCCCACCTTTTAACAGACATAAGTCATACCTCGTACGGTCTGACTGAACTGGATATTTATTCTTCATTTTAAATGGGTGGGCTAGATTTTTTCCAGTCATCATGGGAGAAATCTCCGGGCTCTAAACAGAAGTAATTTATGTAAACAGATTTCAGTTTGTTCCGTTCCCAGGACCCCGTTACGTTCGTTTTATTGGTTGGTCGCACGTCTGTGAAATTCACAACACACCATCAGGTAATAATCAATTAACAGCGACAAAGTCCGCGCGCCCCTTTTTTTTTCAGAATGACCTTATCCCGATTGGTTTAAAATGTCTCTGTTTTCCATACACCACCGAACGAGCTGGGGAGTTTGAGGTTATGTAAACTGGTCACGGAAAATGAAATTGATGGTATTCTGCACTTGTAGCTAGAATAACATTTACATGGCGCTACCGCCGTGCAAGCGATGAGTGCAAAGTTGGGTTTGCACACTACGTGACATGCAGACAGACAGACAGACAGGCTGTGGCCTTAAATGCTGGGATCTTCTGTCTCTATTGTGGCCCAGTCATCAATGCCACGTCTTTAGCACCACCGACACTAGCCGCGATGTCTGTCTCTTTCTTTCTCCCAGTCAGTGTCAGTTATTACGCATCGTCCTCCCTACTGTCCATTTCCCCGCTAGCTTTCAGAAGCTTCTCTCAAGCATAACTGATTTAGAACCTCCTAAACAAATAGTGAAAGTGCGTATTTGTCATTGAAAGGGGCGTCGCATGCATTGGCCGCATCCTTGGATTACACACTGTAGCAAGTGTTGAGATAGAAACACCGCTTCATTGACTTTGCATGTGTTACAGAAACTACATTAAACTAATGTTTACATAGGGCTTTCCTGAAAACATTGCGACAGAAAAAAAGCACTAAATATAAATACAAACTCGTGGAAAAGATTAAGTTCCGAAACGTACTACACAGGTGGTTAACCTTAGACAAACTCGGCAATTAGGTGAAAATACCTTAAATAAACGAAGACCTATCTCACAAACACACACATTTCATAGGACTCCTTCCCCTCAATTTCATGATGCCCGGGGACAGGTTGCGATCATTTTATATAAACTTAACAATCCATCTATATATGTGGCAACGCCATCCCATCGTTAAATGTAACTATAGTTTTAAAAGCAAAGAAACAGTAAATCTAATCCCACGGGCTTCTTATTTTCAATCTATGGGTATACATTCCTCTGTAATCTGCTCCACCCTGGGAATGTTGATTGTTAATTTTAAATTTAAACGTATATATAGCATATAGGACCATGTGTATATATGCACGACATCAGAGTACTTGGGACGAGAGCGACACTATCAATGGATTGCAGGGCATGTCATTTAATAAGTTATTTAGCGCGTTGACTCGGCTGTTATAAAGCGTGATCTGCTTTTCACAATATACAATACACAACTCAAAGAAATGCCAAGGATCGAACAAGGAGCGTTTATTTCCGTTTTTGTCATTCTTCACCAAAGCCTCCCTTACGACTGATAAATAATGTATATACTCTGAACAGAGAGTTCAAAAGAAAGTCCATTTTCTTTTCTCTCGGCTGCCTTTCTGTGTGAGTGCCTTTTCAGCGGTGAGTACTCGTAAACGGTAAAGGTCTTTAATGGAACACGGGTTAATAGTTGGTAGCAATTAGGGAGGGAGGGGGATGCAGGCATGCTACGACAAGTAATATGCCATGTAACCCACACTCCTATCCCATTCAGGGCTCTTTCTTAGCATTTGCCTTTCTCTCTTTTTCAGATATACCCCATCCTCTCTCAGAAAGTTGGCTACGCACGAGTAACTCCCATTTAACCAGGCCATTATTGTCACCATCACTATCATCAACATCATATTATGTATTATGTATTATTATTATTATTATTATTATTATCACGTGCAAAGAGCTAAAGTGTTATCCAATTTATAATTGCAGACAAATCTACACATTAGACTAGGAACACTTACAACTGTTTCTCAAGTTATTAGCACTGTAACGAAAAACAACCGTAATACATATGGTTAATTTCCATGGAAACGTTACCAGTGAAATTGTTATAATGAACATATTTTTATTTTTATTCGACTGGTTAATATTATAGGTTATATTATATTATAGCAAATATGTACATATAAATTGATCTTTGACGGTATTTTAATGTATTTAACTAAAACTATTTTTTTTCGGAGCACTCTGACGAACAATGTAGACAAGTCGCACACCATGTAATTGGGCGTCATCTACCAAGTCATGGAGTGAAACAAGCCCCTTTGCCAGGTCAGAGCTACTGTAACAGTAAAACACTTAGATGAGCACCATACACTATCTGGGCTATTTATGAGCGCGCTAAAATATCAGTCGTCTAGGATGCCACTGTTTGGTTACGCTGCACAATTGATAAGATCGCCAAATTACCACACAAAGTAACTCGAACTGTACTTAAGTAGTAATATTTCAAGACATTAGATGCCATTTAACGGAGCAGTGATATTTTTATGTTCGCCCAGGGGCAACGTGTACTTGTGTGTGGTCACTATTCACGATGCTTTGCGTTACCAAGCGTTAAATTCGTTCTCCGAGTTTGTTCGGCACAGCTCGAGTAAACCACGCTTTTTCGAGTTTCATGGCCACAGTCACTGAACCGAATCAACCATGTTCGATTAAAACTAAATGCTTATATGATCAATCTACAATCTATGCATACTATTATTTTAGTAAGAATGGCCGTGGTTACAAGCGTTAAGAAAATGCTAATTTCTTTCCGCCTAGCACTGATTCACTTCCAGCCTGGGATGGAAACAAACGAACATAAATTAAATAAAGATAGTAAACAGAATGAGTGATAGCTTCCGTTTTCGTGGACCTAAGCCGGACTTTAATATAAAAAAAAACAAAAAAAAAAAACATTTTTTCATCGGATTGAAGTAGGATTTTCATCTATATCCTCAATAAAAAGACTGGTAGGCCATGTTGGTCACGCAAGATATGACCTCCCCCTCTGTCGCCTCTCCTTCGTAGAGAAACCAAGGGATTATCACGAACAATAACATGACTACTACAACCAATGTGTTTCCAACGAATACAGGGTCGTAGGGAGTGTCAAGTTTACGACTTGAATGCTATAAATCGAAGCAGTTCGTACAAAAACATTGTATCTGCTCTGATACGAGCAGGTGCGAAGCAAACATTGAAGAATAACAATCAAGTCCATGACATGGTATATCACTGCGTGCAATATTCCTTTATATAACACAATAAACCACACTCGGCGATTATGGGTCTTCTACTACCCCTTGTGCCCGGACAACACGGGACAAGTTAACTAACGACCGGTCTTAATCAGGCAGTCTGTTCTACAGCTATCTGATGGCGATAAGCGAACTTAAG